GTCACATTCAGATGCAAATATTTCAACTTTTTTCACCTCTAAGGACAGATGTACTCAGGAAAGGGTAATCTACGTTAAAATTCTATGAAAACATGTGTGGTTTGAACTTTGGTTAATAGTTAACAACTTCCAATGAAGTCACAAATGGTCAATTTGAGCCCAAATAAAAAACATACAACAATCTGAAATTTATGGAAAATTTAATTAAATAAATCTAATAGAGAACACAAAAAATAAATAGGGTAGAAAAAATACAACATACAAATAAAAAAGAATGCATCCTTTAAATTTCAACATTCCCATTTTTGACACTCCTTTGTAAGAATGCCAAAACAAGTTTAAAACCAAAAGATTCAAGAAAATTTCTTCTCTAAAATTCAAACATGTACCGTATCGAGTCTCCAAACTATCGAGAGTATGCAAATCTATACAAAAGTGACACTCAAGCTAGAACTTACCCACAGCCACTGCAATTTGTAAGAGTGCCTGCTCATCTTGCCAAGATTAGGAATTCGAGTGGTAGAATGGCTTAAATTCAAAGACATGAGTCTATGGTGGACATAAATAAGAGAAAAATAGGCTGACAAAGCAAAGAGAATTGTAACCATCTTCTTACATGCACTCTGCAAAGAAAGTTACACTAGTCAAAATAATTGGAACAAAGAGAAGTTATTCCATTTTATGTGGCACTCTTTTTCTTTTTAGTATGTTTAAAAAAGAACGACGCCTTTCCATATTTTCAAATAACTTAATTTTGAACTTCTCATTGTACTCTTAATGATATGCTTTTAAAGCCACAAAAATGTCATGGCATGTTCAAGAAAAGAGGTTCCAAAAGTATTCATTTCTTTCTCAAACTTGGTGCCCAGCCAAATTCTGCCACATAAAATGAAGTAGAGTAGGCAATAAATTCATCTGTACTCACAGGGTAAGAGAGCTCAATACTTTTCACACATAGTGCTTAAGAGCTACTTAAGTAACGGGATATTATTCCGGCCAACGACCAGAAGTTCGTCCCCTCCCATCATATCTTCAACACATTCCTTAATCTTCATAGCAGAATCATTAAGTTGAGGGCTCTCTACAATTTTGATAACTTTTAACGAACAAATATACCCGAATCTAGGTGGAATCTCCTCAAGCTTGTCACATTCCAACAGATATTATTTCTCAAGAACGGGAAAAGATTCGTCTTCAACTTTCCACTTAGTAAGAGTCACTTCATCCAACCTCAAAATTTTGAGATTCTCAAAGGTGTCTTCCTCCCCATGCTCCATTCTCCCCCCTGGATGATTGAGTGAACAAGAGTCAGCTCTTTAAGGTTGGGAAGTCTCGCTATTGTTGATAGTGCATCGGATGTCAGAGGAAAGTCATACAGTCGCAATTGTTTCAAATTCAAAGGGAAGTGAAAATCCCACGACCATTTTGTCGCTACAGAGGTGTTTGAACTTTCAAAACCTACTCCTACTCTGAGGGATTCTAGTTCATTTAGGAAGTCCAATTTTGGGAACCAAAATTGCTCTGTTGAGTAATCATATGATCCCTTGATACGTAATTCAAGAACTTGAAGATTGGGAAACCTTTTGAAAATATCCTCTGTGTATTTCGAATAGGAAAGCATGAGTTTCCCTAAATATCTCAAGTTCTCTAACTTTGTGTCCTCTGCTATAAGTACTGGTTCATCTGTATCTAAATCAAAGAAAGAACAACTCATGACCAACACTCGCAATTTACAAGATTCCAAATTCCCGGTAGTAGTGCCAGGGGTGGTTTGTCATTTTCCACAAGCAGAGTTTCTAGATTCCAGAGGTTGGAGAAAGATGAAGGCAGAGATTTAACTTCTGTCCCAATGTGTAAGAACCTCAAATGATTCAACATGCATATTTCATTCAGCAAAGACTTCCTCCTTGAGAAAACAGCTATACATGCTCAACACTCTAAGTAGCCTCAAGTGTCTTAGGTGACATGTGTCAAGAAGACGGTCGCGCTGCCTGTATCCAGTTATCATCACAGAATAGTCATTTGACATGGCAACAAATCTGAAGAAGATGATGGAGAACTTGAACTTATCCATTCAAACAACTATTCCTCTCTGAAGTTGGAAATTCAGGCTTTCACCTATCTCATTGAAACAAATTATCCAAATAAATCTCCATCACTTCTTCCACACTCTTCATCTCAGTCTGTCCCACAAGTCCTTCGGCACACCATACATCTTTCAAATAATTGACTAAAATCTTTCTGTCCTTCTGGAAACTTGCAAAGTAAAGAAAGCATGGCTTGAGGTGATCTGGTAAATGGTCATAACTTAATTTTATAACCTTCATCACTTCCACTTTACTGTTCAAAATAAAGGAATTCAAATTATTTTGAACTTCAAGCCACACCGTGTTTTTCTTTTCCAAACCCGCAATGACTCCAGCAATCAGATCAGCCACCAAAGGAAACCCTCTACATTTTCGAGCTATTTCTTTTCCAACATCCAACAGTCCATCAGGGCAACTCTCTTTCCCAAATGCCCTTTTCTCCCGGTCAAGAAGATCAGTGTGAAACTTTCTATGCAAAGCCACTTTCTTTTCTCGAGTCGTCAATATAATTCTACTTCCTTTCTCAACTTCGGGAAAAATTCTTGTTAACTACTCCCATGTTACGGCATCCCACAAGTCATTTAAGACAATAAGATACCTCTTTCCATTCCGTAGCTTATCAGCAACATCAATATTCTCACTCAATTTTGAATCTGAGTTACTAACTTGATTAAAAAATTTATCCAACAACTTCTTCTCGTCATATTCTTGGCCAACTGCATGAAGGTCAAAATGACTAGATATTGATTTATCATTGTAGACTTTGTACGCCAAAGTAGTTTTACCTGAACTAGTCAAGTTTGGAATCTACTCAATTTCTAGTTGATATTCAGAAATATTACATTTAAGACTTTCATCAAACACATTGTAGACACTTTTCAACCAAGTAAACTCTTCTGTGGGATCGTGCACAATTTATACTCTTGCTAATCCGGACTAACATGTAACTTATGCTCAATTTATGTGGCAATTGTTTTTAATCTATCCCAAAAAGAATGAGACACCTATTTTGTTGGTTTTCAAGGAGCAAAATGGTGTCCATCACAACTATACGTTTGCTTAATTGCATTCATTTGTTTTATTAGACCTAAGTTGACTGAGCATACATCAAACAATCATTTTTTTAAGAAAAAATGTTCAATGACTAATGAATTAACATAACAAGAACAAAGTTGAAGTGATACTCAAAAAGGCATAATACATAAATGACATAGTAATACAAAAAGCATGATATATAAATGTGTCATTTAACTTGATCTCATATGACATTTACGCCCTCTAACTTTAGGTGTGTATAAATAGACACTTAAACTTGTATAAAATTAAGCAAATAGATACATTCGTCTAATGTGGCATTCTACATGACAATTTTGTGTCCTATGTGGCGTTCTATGTGTATTATGTCAGGTAGGACGCGTGTGTTTACTTGTTCACTTGCGTGCACATCCAAAGTTGGAGGACATAGATGTCCGTTGAAACCAAGTTAAAGGGCATATTTATGTATTATATCATACAAAAAAATGTATTTTAACTTAGCCTCATTTTATATTGGCATAATACATAAATATGACCTTTAACGTGGCATCATTTCACATTTATGTCCTCAAACTTTGAGTGTGCATATGTAGACTCTTAAACTTGTATATAATCGAACAAATAGACACACACATCCTATGTGGCATCCTACGTGGCAATTTACATCATTTGTGGTGTCCTACGTGTATTATGCCGCATAGGACTCATGCGTCTACTTGTTCAACTTCATACAAGTTTAAGTGTCTACTTGTGCACACCCAAAGTTGGAGAGCGCAAATGTGAAATAAGGCCCAGCTAAAAAGCATATTTATGTATTATGTTATTTATATTTATGCCCTTTAATTTTGGATATACACATAGACAAATTATGTTAGCTTCCTGGATGCTTATGAATTTTGATCAATAGCAATAAATCGCTCAAGAAATATGGAAAGTTGATAAGATCCCCTGAAATAAGATCAATATCTCTCAAGATTAGATTAAAGAAGAAGAATCAAATTGACGCAATCAAAGACACGTTTAACGGACACATCAAGAAAGGGAAAACAGATCTCATCAAATCATTCCAAAATCGAACTGAAACCGATAATCCGAATCGAAAAAAATTTATTGATTTATTGATAATGGTTTAGTCGTTTAACGGTTTTGATAATGGTTTTGATTTTTTTATTATCGAGTTATTAATTTTTAATGGTTTGAGATTTTTTCTTTACGGGTTAACTGATAAATCGATAGTAATTAATAAATTATATTTATACCATTATGTAAATAAAGTCCTTGACTTAGGATTTAATTTCATATTGTTTTGTTATTCTACAATGTGTTAGTGTTGCTTTTGAACAAGACACAATCTATCAATTCATGTGCATGGTTTATTTGGTCTGTCACCATGTTTCTAAGTAATTTTCAATCATTTATTTTTTGTGTCAAATCTTAATGGTTAAACCGATAATGATCAATAACAGATAAATTGATAATCGATAAGTCAATATCTAATGGTTCTTAACGGTTTAGCATGTCTACAAACCGATAACCAATAGGTCAAACAAATAAACTTCAAAACCAAATCGAAACGACCGATACACAATCCTACACATGAGTCATACATGGCATAATACACATAGGACACCATGTAAGACACAAATTGTCATGTAGGATGCCACATCAGATGCATATATGTCTATTTGTACAACTTTATATATATATAATTCATGATAGCTAATATTATCAAATGACTAATAATTATAGGATCAATTAATATCTCGCAAAATACATATAATCACAAACTATTACAACATTGATCATATACTACCATGACCTTGATCTACATGACTAGTGTCATTAGTCGATCGAGCCACTAACTTTTATTCGTTTGTTATTTTAACCTTTAAATTTCTTTTTAATATTATATATCCTCCTAATTCATAAAGTACTTCCTTTTTCTTATTTCCCTTTAAAGGCGAATAATTTCACTCTCCAATTCTCAATTTATTTTATTTTAATCAGGTAGATATGGCTTGAGGAGTTGAATTAGGGATCCTTTGAGATGAAGTGACATAACTTCATTTGTTGATCCAACTAATTTCCCCCCTATAAAAACTGCTGGAACTGAGGCATTACAACCCATCCTCATAAGAGCTTTTTCCATATCTTTTCCATCAGAATCATGATCAAGTTCATGCACATATGGATCAACACCAAGATCTCGAAATAGTATAGTGACCGCGTAGCATAAACAACACGTACTCTTGCTGAAAATCATCACCCCGTGCTCCGATGACATTCGTTGTACCTTGTCAGCCATTTACAACGACTAGCAGTATGATGAAATATGAGTAAAAAAGGTGGTAGGGTTAGGTTTTCAAAAATTAGGGTTTCTTTCCTAATTTGATTTGGTTGGTTTAAAAGTTCAACGGCTAGATTGTTACGAGCTATACTTGATATTCTGGTATGTATGTAAAGTTGTTGAAATATAGGGGTAAATGGAGGTACTCTTTAGTATACCATCGGATCTTAAGTTCAACAGAATTTGAACAACGATCCGATGGTTACAAAATTTGATGCTAGAAGAGATGAAGGAAGAAACAAAATAGCAAGAAAAAACTTGTTAATTTTTATTTTTTTAAGAGATTGCTTGGAAATATAGTGTTTTCATGGCTACACTATTTATAAAAGAAAAAAAATGGAACATTTAAAAATGAAAGTGGAGTTCTCTGTCTAAATTGTAAAGATTCAAAAGATGGTGTGCTTTATTTAGATGCTCCACGAACTGGACTACAGCTCTACTAAAGAGAATTTTAATAAATAAAATAAATAAATAAATAAATAAATAAAAGAAGAGAATTTTAATTAATATATAATAAAGAAGAGAATATTAATATATAACTAAAAAAGAAGAGAATTTTAATCATAAAAAATAAAAATAAAAAGATACTGTTTCATTCTACAAATCAACTTTGAGCAAGTTGGGAGATATAGTACATATATTCTATATGGTCTTGCACTTTTTGAATAGAATCTTTTTGGTGGAAAAAGCTTATTTGAAACACCTAAAAATATATACCTACATGCACTTTCTATATAACTAATTAGGATTTTTTAATTTTTTTAGTACTTATATAATTAGATATCTTTAGAAGTTCAGGGCCGAAGCTAAGTGGTTGTTAGGGTGTCCAATTATTAAAAAAAATATCATATATATAAGTAAAATAATACACGAAGTAATTGAATAATATATTTTGGACACTCTTAATGCAATATGGATTTTACAGCATAGTGGTTCAGACACCTCAAATAAGATAGCGTTCGTGTGTTTGAATTTGACTAGCATCAATTTTTTTATCACTTTTTAAAAAGAGTTATATTATACTCCCCATGTTCATCTTTATTTATTTATTATATTAAAAATACATTTTCACTTTTACTTGTCAATTTTTGCATATCAAGAAAAAAAATATTTTTTTTTCATTTTAACATTAATATATCTAAGACTGAAAATGAATTAATATGGTATTATGGTAAAATACTTAATTATGTTAATTATTATTTCTAATGAGGCGTGTAAAATTTAAACTAGATAAATAAAAGTAATATTATATAAAATAATAATAATAATAGTAAATAATAATAATATACTCAATGTAGTTTCATAAATGGAATCGGAGGAAGTTTATATGTTCTTTATCACATATCAAATATTGCGTGCGCATGTTAAAATAATTAATAAGAGTAATGATTATCCATAATTAATGACTATCCTTAATTAGTCATTAATTCATACTATAAGAAGTTCTCTAGACACGTGGACACAAAACTAGCCGTCCAAGATTAAACTATATTATATAAAAGTTTTATTCTTGAACATGCATATTACTATAATATATAATAATTATTTACTATAATATAATGTGTTGTCAATTTTTTGAGATTCTTTTCCCAATATTCTTGGATTATATTCTTTGCTCGAATATATAGCAAAAAATTTAAAAGTTTTTTGGTGGCTTCGATTCTCTCTTCATGTGTCCACTTCCAACTTGAGTTATTCTTCACACACACAAAATTTGATCAATGGCCGTACACTTGTACATACCATAGTAGTGTATGTGTAAGGCACAATGACGAATTTAAAATTTTCACCAAGAGTTTCAAAAAATAATCTTTAATATATAGGATTTGAACATTAAAGTGAATTTTGAACCTCCTAAATCACTATATCAATCTCTAGTCTGGATTATAGGGGATTCAATATATATATATATATATATATATATATGCTAAAAACAAAAAAACAAAAAAAACTTTATATAATAATGTAATATTTTGTTGAGGGATTCGGGATAACACCCTCGCCCCCTCCTAGATCCAGCCGTGATCGCCCCCTCCAATTTCTAGTTTAAACATTCCCTCTAATTAATTAATAATTATATTATAGTTTCTTTCATTGTAGTACAAATTCAAACAACTACCAATGAACCAAATTAAAGAAGATCACCCCAAAAAAGATAGAATCTCTCCTAATTGAAAAATAGAAAAATCTCGACTAGCGACGAAAATAAAAAACTTTCTTAAAGGTGTTCAAGAGTATTTAAATATTAAAGTCAATATATACATATAAAAAATAACATTTAAAATATTTGACCTGTATATAAGAGTGTTCAACTGATTACCTCCAACATACGTAGCTACGCCCCATCTCCCCATCTTAGTGTGTGCTGCATAAATATTTTTATGGTCACTTTACTAAAGTGATCGTTGAGGGATCGAATATATAAATGTATACGTCAAGTTCTTGTCCATCTTTAGCTTTGATTCCAAACAAGGTGATAACTAAGTTTTTCTCATGGCTATTTCTTTATATTCTTTTCCTCACTACCCGGAGGAAAAGATAAGATATTATATTCCTTCGAGTAGTAACGAACTCAGAATTTAGTATTTATAAATTTTGTTTTTTATATAGTATGTGTCAATTCTTTTCACACATGATATTCATTCACGTTTATTGTCTTGTAAGCGATTTTGGATGCTCTTTGTCCTAAGCCTCATGAATGTGGTCACCTTTGTGAATGTATGTCGCTTATTTTTGTGCTATTGTTACTTAATTACGTTGTGACTCGTGTCTTCTCTTACATAGATTATAAGTTAATACGCTTAATTAATATAGTTAACTGTCTTAGGCCTCAATTAGCAGTCATAAGGTCAATATGTACTCTTCAATCCGAAATAATTGATTTGAAGGAGAGTGATCAGAGTCACTTGACTATAAGGAGAGGAGCAATCATACGATTATTGACTAATTAGTCATAGTTTTTCTAAGGCTCGAAATAAGAGGTTTTGTCTTTTCAAAATATTTAACATAACTAATAAAAGAAATGTGTCCTTTTAAAATCATATAATAACCTGCAAGATTTTGAAAATAAAATTTTATTGTAATTCATGTTGGAACTTCAATACGTACTAAAGTTGTGGATGAGTAACTTATGCATATATAATAAGAAAGATGGCCAGTCTAAGTTCGAATGATTCTTTGCAACTCAAAAATATGAAGTTGGAATCGCCGGTAATCATATATCAAACATGTTGTAGTAAATGTCTTGGGTCCTATATGCACAGCCCATCACACTTCGAAAATTGATTTTCCTTGTATCGAACCAATGATTATTCATGACTCTTTTGGCACTCTTCCATGCAAATTGATTAAAAGTTATGGTATAGGAGGCTTTGTGACAAGTGATTTAATAGGTAAAATTTAATTGAATATCCTTATAGTATATGAATCGCATCTCAAATCATAGTAACTGATAAAGAAGATAATTCAAACAAGTCGAAATTGGCTAAATATAAAATTTTATAAGCTATATGTATAATATGTTTCTTTTGAATAGATACAGTTAAGTATGTGATATTTAAATTCAAAAGTGAATTTAGAATTTTGAGTTTATGAATTCTCACAATTTCTTGTTTGTCACTGAACCCACAATCCATAGGGTTTGATCGCAATTTATTATACATGTACGTTTGGTGAATTCTTTGACATATACTAAGTTCTTCCAAATCTATATCATAATACATTGTACATCCGCCTCTATTCGAATTCAAATTGTCACATCAAAAAGGAAAATAATAGCTTGAGAACATATACAACAACAACAATTATTACTATGTTTCAGTCTCAAACAAATTTTTACAAGTCGGAGAAAAGTTTTCCATTATCGGCCATTTTGACAAAGTATGGCTTCCTTTTCTCCCTCAACCTCCATTCCTTTTAAAGGAAAAAGAGGATTAATTAGAAAGGAAAATAAAAACATTGGGTTAAAATTGAAACACAAAAAAAATTGTGTACAAGCTAAGAACCTAGATGTTGTTTTAGTACAAAAACTTGCAATAAACCTAATTTGGTCCGGCCCTTTTTCGAACCTACCCACCGTGAAAACTTAGTGCACTGGATTATTCTTTTTCTTCTTTCTTTTTTTCACTACTAGAAATCAATCAATTTCCGACTTACAACCCGTCAAACTCTAACCGAATTTTCGATGAAACGTCTGTCGGAAACACCTCATGCGAGTGCTTTTTCGACGATTTTCTGATAGAATTCTCGATTAAAAGTCCATCGGAAATAGCTCAATCGAGTGTGCTTTTCAATCGGAACGCCGTCGGAAACATCTCATGAATCGAGTGTGTTTTTCTATCGAAACACCATCGGAAAGTGCTTTTCCGGAGGTTTTTCCGACCAAATTCCTGACGAAAAATTCGTCGGAATATAATTAATACAAAAAAAGGTTGAATTACATGAGAATTTTTCTGGGGATTAGTATGAAAATTTGCAGGAAAATAAGTTTCTTGCTGATTTTCATACTAATCCCTAAGAAAATCCCCATGTAATTCACATTTTTCCTGTAGTAAACATCTCACTCTAGTGCTTTTCCGATCGAAACACCGTCAGAAACATCTCGAGTGCTTTTCCGACGATTTTCGACCGAATTCCCATCGATAAAAACATCTCAGACGGGTGCTTTTTTGATAGTTTTCGATCGGAACGCGATCAAAAATAATTGATTGATTTCTAGTAGTGTATTTTTTTTTTAGTTATAACCAAATAGCTTTGGCATCAATGAGCATTTGTTTGAGTGAACCATCAACTTGTAAGGATATAATATCCTTAGATGATCCAACATATTTTCCACCAATAAAAACAGCAGGAACACATGGATTACAACCTAAACTTCTCAATGCCCACTCCATTTCTTTCCCTTTTGGATCTTCATCAAGTTCATGAATTGCTGGACTTGCTCCAATATCATAAAATAGTGCTTTAATACTATGACACATAAAACATGAACTCTTTGTGAATATTACTGCTGCCTTCTTTGATGCCAAGTCACCTATTCTATCCATAGCTAGCTCTATATCGATCGATACAAATAATTAATGGATACGTATGACCAAAATTATATAGATATATACGAACGAAAAATCGGAGAAAATTATGAAGAATATTGATTGATGATCACTAGTGTTATAAGCTTTGTGTGGTAGATTGTGATGATATTTGAGGTTTCATATATTGGTTATTTATAGAGATTTTAGATATAGTAGATATGGATTACATTTGTTTATCCAGAAAAGGCAAAAAAATAAAAAATGATACACAAATGAAAAGGCAATGTTCCTTAAAGATATTTTTCCTTTGGATAAAGGAAAGAAAAAGTTAGAAAGAAAAAAAATGTCTATATGAAATTCGTCGCTAATTTGTAGCTAAATATTTCGTATATAACCTGAATTTTTTCATAATTTGTTGCCAAAAGCAACAAATTTTGTTGTTTAGCTATAGAACTTGTATGTCTTTATTTGAATTTTCTTAAGTAGGGTTTGTCGAAGGGGAGTCAATTGATATCTCTTCATCTAAAAGTTACACCATGCGGAAACGTCAATTTCTTTTTTATGTATATATATACACTATATGTTGAATCCCCTTAGCATATTTATGTGTATATTTTTTATATATTTTTTAAATTTCTTTAGTGAAAATACCTAGCTGAGACCGTGTGTTTGAATTCAAATCATGTAAAAGACAATTACAATGTATGTACTTCCATTTATATGTTACCAATTACAACAAATTAAAATGCACTCATATAGAGTAAAATATTTTTCTATTTTGAGTGTAAATTAAACTAAATTCTTCTAGATTTTGACCATTTAATGCTATGAAAAGTTAATATTAGACCATAACGATAATAGCAGACTCCTGTAGAATTCCTACAACTTATTAATTACTAATATATTATAGGCAAAGATATTATTCCTTGATCTTTTTTCATGAAAAATTCTTTGTTTAGTGGGAAAATTAAAGTACTTTTAATTTTGGAAATCTAGAAACTAATACAGTACGTAATATATAGATTTTTTTTCAAACTTTAATGATGTGTAAAGACGACGCTACTGGTACAAGAGATGTATAGGAATATCGAATAAAGAAAAAAAATATAATGTTCTATATATATATATATATATATATATATATATATATATATATATATATATATATATATATATATATATATATATATATATATATATATATATATATATATATATATATATATATATATATATATATATATATATATATATATATTAAAACTTAATGGTGGAAAATATTTCTAAGGACCAATGCTAGAAATTAGTCAGTTGGACTTCTATTAACTTTGTTCACTAGGGATGTGTCTCAATTTTAACCAAGTTGAGTAATTCTTCTACTCTATTATATTTCTTTTTATTATTCCTATCGAATATCAAAACAAACCATAAGAATTATGAGAACCGTATGGGACACAAAAACAAAGAATATCGTTATGCATGCAATTGAACAAGGGGAGGCAACGTATTATAGATATTCATATATCATGTAGTTGAATCGATATACTTATTATTACATTAGTAATGATTATAATAGTTAAACATAGATTATTTCTTATGCTTTGTTTGATTTGGTGTATTAAAAATAGTATGCATTGCATAAAAATATTTATTTACAAAGATGCCTTTCCCAATTATGATGGAAAAAATATTTTTAAAAAATTGAGGGGTAATAAAGTGTTAAACCATGCTAATGCATGCATTAAAATCTTTTGTATTAGTAATACCAAGAAATCAATTGTATTAGTAAAACACACCTTAATACACAATAGAGTGTATAACTAATTTAGTTATACATAGCATGAAAAAGTGTACCAAACAAGGTATTACTAATACACATGCATTATTTTTACTAATACACTATACCAAACGACCCCTTAGTTCTAAAGAAAATAAGAGAGATTTATATAGATCAGAAACAAGGGAATGACCGAATGATTGGAAAAACTAAGAGTATTTTGTGGTGATAGAGATGCATCTTAATTTGTTTCATCTCTTTCTCTACAAAGAAAGGTGCAAAAAGCATCCCGCGTTTACACAGGGCCGCAACCCAATTGGTCCAAATATTGACACATTCCTATTTTTGGATAAGTTGCAACTTCATACCATTGATAAAATGAGACAATGAAGAGATACTTCAATTTAAAGAAGATAACATTAAGCTATTTATTGATGATAAATATACAGAAATTACCAGGAAAGCATTAAATAAGGCTTGATGTTTACATTAACTTCACTGGCCAACTTCCCCGACTCGACAGTTGCATATTCGGGATTGAAGAAGTACCAGATGCTGCACTATGAGAAGGGATCCTGTAACAAAATCCGGGTTGTTACTCTGGCGATGAAATAGGAGCCAAAGTAAGGGAAGATCCCGACATGTAAGGAGCATTCGGTATATCAGGAAGAGAAGAAGCTGATGGACTATATCGTACTGTTCCCATAGGATGATCGAATTTACATGTGCCACCGAATTTGCAGAATCCTCTTTGCATGTAAAAGGAACAAGGCTGCACCCCCTGCTTTCAGAATGAAATTTAGTCGAGTATCCAAACAGATAACGAGTTACACACACAGCAATACTATCAGACTCAAGAAAGATCATATAACAAGATGCTCTGTCCTAGCTCAAATAAGTTATGTAAAAGTGTCCAAAAAGGTTCAGATATGTTGAAGCTCAGCTAGACAAAGGAGGAAATAAGAAATGCATAAAATGTACACCTATATGAAACCTTTGAAGCCTGCGTTCATAATCCAAAGAAAAACAACACAGTAATCCTTTTAATAGTTATACAGGCAGGCGAGTGTACTAGAAACTACACAGATAATAAAAAAGAAAATGAAAGGAAGGAGAGAAATTTACACTTCTTCCAAGAAAGAAAGAGAAAGAAGTATTCTTGTATCAGATTTAAGATGATAACAAGCATGCTTGTTTATACTGGAACAAGCAAAGGAGACTGACATCTCTAGTGTAGAAGATATGCTGCCATCATTTTGGCATTTGAAAAATTAGACAATTGCGAAATTTCAACTGTTTGTAATCTGTGGGGACAGGCATTAGCGCTAGATATCGTGACATTTTCAAATTGTAACATTTTATGTTTTCATTTCTTGGGACTGATAATAGCAGCAGCCTAATAAGTCATAGGGACCAGCTATAATTTCAAATGCAAGAGCGACTGGTGCAGAACAGATAAGAGAAGTCAGACTGCCCATTTGCAGTTTCTCTACATGGCACAGAGCATGCAGTAGGCAAGTATCTCCATAGCTCCAAATAAGAACCGTGAATATAGATTCAATAAAATAATACTTCTTGAATTCGGTTACAACCAAGCAGAAGGCAGGCAGAGAACGGCACGCATACAAAATCTTCCAAATCACAATGCATCCAGCAGCATAAGAAGGCTTGACGTGATCTCAGTTTTAGGCAGGACCAGATAAACAACGATACCCATCACAGATTATCCAGATTGGATTATAAATTAGTGATGCGAAGTCAAACAAAAGGGAGAAAGAAGGATATTAGTCATACCGGACGCAAAGGAAGGCCTAAGGGACTGAAAGCACAATCTGTCTTTGATGCAATCCAGTCAGCAGGATGATGAAACTTACAGGACGATCCAAATTTACAGTCCCCAGTTTTTATGTAATATTGACATACTGGTTGGCCTGGTCTTTCTGGAAAACGATTTTCTTTCAGTGCACTGCTTGAAGGGCCAGCAGCAGAGTGTAATGGAGAGTAAGGTGCTGCAAAGGCAGCCGTAGAAGATGCTAGTTGCGGCATCCCATAAATAGATGCCATCCCAGCAGAGGGTTGAGCACCAGGAGAGAGAGCAGGACTCACTGGTCCCTGCAAAAAGCAAATTAATCACCCCATAAGATTATTATTTAAGTCATATCAGATTATTGATTGAGAGAATATCTCTATCATTACCGAGTAAGTGCTCCAGTTCTGAATGGTCACCACTCCCGGGTGAAGCAAAACTGGACCATAAGTACCAGGTACATAAGGACCAGATAAGAGTTGAGGCCTTGCTACTCTAGAGCTAGTTGATGCACTGTTATATTCTTCAGGGGGAGTAGGAAGAGAAGATGCTGTCGGATAAAATGGACGTGCAGTTGCTGGCGCTGATACCTCAGTATGGTCAGGGTGATGGAATTTACATGTTATACCAAATTTGCATTGCCCCGTTTTCAAATAATAGGAGCATTCTCTTTCCTCCTGTTGCAATTGATGAAGTTCAAGAGATCTTAGATAAACTTATCGATAGAGAACACAAATGCATACATATATGATACAAGGCAACAGATCAATTACCGGATGTAATGGGTATCCATAAACATTTAATGATATATTGCTCAACGATCCACCTAAGTTTCTTGGATGGTGGAACTTGCATGATGCACCAAATTTACAGGTCGCTGTTCTTAGATAGTACTGCAAATAGAAATTATACATTCATCACACACTAAATCAATCTGTTATCCACAGAATGAAAAGAAAAAACAGAAATGAAGGACTCACATACTTGATCAAACACAAACAATCTCAGGATGAGAAATAGAGTTACCTGGCATGTAGGCTCTCCTATTCGTTCTGGATATTCACTTCTTTCCAACAGCACCGCACCAACCTGAAATCCGAGCGACTCCCAAGTAAGGGTTAAAGGAACTCATGCTTGCAGCTTGCTATTCCAAGAAACTAATAGAATATCCACAAGATGAAAAAATCTAATAAAAAAAGCCCATTTATTATCTTTATAGTCTTTCTTCACGTGCTCAAGTTTTAATTAGATGCCTTAGCTTTTCTCAGGAACTCACTCTTACTAGGTGTCAATCCAGTGTCTACTCACTCTAAACTAGGCCTAGTTAATATGTAAAGTTAACTTCGAGTTACTAACCGTGTATAATTTTCTTTGACATCACCAATGTGACATTAACTTGACCGTGTATACAAGTTAAATCCAATTGAATAAGCTTGTGCGTTCACGATTCTCTATGAAACTATAGGCATTAAACAAGTAATGACAATAGTAAGCAGGGGCGGATCTAGCCTCTTAACCACAACCTCAAACTCTATATATGACTGTGCATTCAGTTGGTGA